GCCTAAAATCTTTTGTCTTTAAAACAATGTCGATTTCTTGGGAAATTCCGAGGTTGCGGTTTTTTTGATACACCCTGTATATGCATATTTTATTATTGTAATTTGTAATCAACTCCTTACTTTTAATAAAGGGGAAAACAAATTGAACTGTTCTTGGTCTTTACGAACACTATAGCTGTTCTGAGGAAGTCAAATAATGAATTTTCAAAATTCTATGCAGGGTGTCCCGAAAACAATGCAATAGCTATATATGCATGTTCTAAATTTTACACAGCAAGCTTAGCGGGCATCGAGAATTTAGGCTAAGAGATGAATTTGTATTTAGTGTATTTGTATTTAATGAAATTATTTTAGACCTTTCCCCTTATAACCAAAATTTTGATCTAGGCAAGTCTAGACAAATATTTCATCACAGCTTGAAAGAGCATCACAAAATTAGTAATATTCCAAAGTTTCGTTGCGAAATGTTGTAAAATGCGGATAATATAGCCAGGGACGACGGAACTGGGGGGCAGGGGGGGCGGCTGCCCCCCTTGCCTTTTGCTAGGGGGGGCAGGGGGGGGCAGAAGTGCCCTTTTAGTTGTAAAATAATACGTGATAAATCACATTTCCAACGATGCTTTTTGTAGGAAAATCACGAGATTCAGGTAATTTATAGTTTACATTTATAAAAATTTTGGGAAATTTTTGGAAGTTAGAAAAATATTTTGAAGAAATGGCGAAAATTTAAGATATCCGGAAAAATTTTTGGCTTCACGGAAAATTTTTGTATGTCCGGAAAACATTTTTGACCCCTAAAATGGTACACTGACCGAAATTTTTTTGGCGACGGGGGGGGGGGGTTGGGGGGGAGGTCGCCAAAATTTTCAGTAAAGGTGCCCTTGGTGTGCGTCCGCCCCCCTTTGCCCTATTATCGTTCCGGCGTCCCTGAATATAGCCTTGCGAAATTTGCAATTTTCAGTCATTTTAGATTACAAAAGGGAAATTGCAGCCCCAACACCCGAATCGTATGTCAATTTCCCGTTTGTAATACAAAATGACTGAAAAACGGCAAACTTCGCAAGGCTATATTATACGCATTTTACAACATTTTGCAACAAAACTTTGGAATATTACTAATTTTGTGATGCTCAGCTTGAAAG